GGGGACACCTGTCCTTCTGGGCCACTCAGCCGCCAGGAGCAAGCGGAGCAAAGTGTGAGAAAGGCGAGCTCTGCCTGGGGGTGTGGGAGCTTGGAAGGGAATGACTGTAGGGCCCTGGAATCCCTGCCTTTGAGGAGCACCCCCACACCTGCCCTCAGCCCTCCAGCCTTCCCAACCCCTCCTCATTCGTAGTCCTCTCTTGCTGGGAGCACTACTCCCTCTCTTGCAGCCTCAGGGACAAACCCCATGGACTGAAGGCACAGACTAGGGTTTGGGGCCCTTTGCAGGAGCCTCTCCAGGGCGCTCTCCCCCAGGCAAGCGCGCAGCACTCAGGGGCCTTGGTCTAGGCCCATCCTGCTCTCTGGGTCACTCCTGGATAGTGGGGGGACAGAGAGACAGCTTCCCTGGCAGTTTAAGCTCCCGAGGATGGTCCCTGGACCACGCTTGGGAAGAGGCTAACCCAGGCCTGGTGCTGGCACGGGTGGGGCCAAGGCGGGTGTGGACCCCCTGGGCGCGAGGGGGGGGGGGACATTTGAGAGCCGGGAGCTAGGGAGGCGGGTCCTCACAGGGTGCTGGAGGCCAGGTTCGTGTCTTCGTGCTTGAGCTTCCCGTCCAGGGCGAGGCCTCTCTTCTCCCGATTGTTGGCCAGGAAGGGGGTCAGCGTGTAGACCTTGCAGAAGGTTGAGCTGGGTGCCACTGTGTCACTGGGAAGGAGGGAGGCAGGTGTAGAAATGTCCCCCAGAGCCAACCCCAGCCCAGCCGGGACGTCTCCAAAATCACAGAGTAATGTTTTTAAAATGTTTTTGTCGTTGCAAACATACTGACTGCTATTACATGTAAATAAACACACACATACAGGAAAAATTAAATGAAATGCAACTACTCAAAAATCTACATGCAGGGTCAGGAGAAAAAAACAGTGTGTCTTCTAATAGGAGCATCTACTTCCTTCAGGTGAGAAAAAACTGTTTCACTTAAGATCTTTCTTCTTTCCTTAGCTGCTAACGAGCTTGGAACAAAGTTCCATGCTCAAGCATAATAGCTCTCCTCAAACCTAGATTTTTAAAAAAATAATTATTCTCTACCCTCCCACCTTTTACCCAGTGAGCTGGATTATTCCTTTACAGACTAGAACAACTGTGTGCCAAGTGCCTTAACCGCTTTGCTTTGGCTATCAGGAAACTCAGAACAAGTATCTCCCTTCAATATGGGATTCAGGTACAATATAATTATGACTGCAGTTCCCTTGTAGTCATTAGCTCTTGTTTTGTTATTCTAGTTTTTTTAATTTATTTTTTATTGACTTCAGAGAGGAAGGGAAAGGGAAAGAGAGATAGAAACATCAATGAAGAGAGAAAATCACTGATTGGCTGCCTCCTGCACACCCCACACTGGGGATCAAGCCCACAACCCAGGCATGTGCCCTGACTGGGAATCGAACTGTGATCTCCTGGTTCATAGGTCGATGCTCAACCACTGAGCCACACCAGCTGGGCTGTCATTCTAGTTTTAGTGGGTCTTTTCCTTGACTGCAGCATGCATTTTCTTGTAGCTAAATCGAGTGAATGTTTTTTATAAGCTGTTCAGGTTCATCTACCAGGAGTGGCGAGGAAGTGTGAGGCCCCGCCCTCTGCCAGAGGCCTCTGGACCTATAAGTGGACCCAGGGTTTCTCTTCCCCATCCAATCCCCACCCAATCCCATGTGTCCAAGCCTGGCCTTCTGCTCACTCACTCGGCCTCCTCCATGGCCACGGGGCACTTGTACTGGGCTGTGTTGAAAAGGCAGATGTCTGCATACTGGCGCACTGGGGAGGGAGAGGGAAAGGAGGTGGTGTGAGTCAGGGGTGCAGCTCCCAGGCATCGTAGGCGCCCCTGAGTTGGGGATGTTCAGCCTCGGGCAATGGCCAGAGTCCACTGGAGGCTTCCACAGGAGACAGTCCCCCTCCCCCACCCAAAGGGCAGCCCAAACAGGCCCATTCCCTTCCATTCCCCTCGAGGACAGCTTTGCCCCGGACCCAGGGAACCTGAGAGGAGGCGGCTGAAACAGTAAATTCATTCCCTGGCCAACCAGCAGCCTCAGAAGCCTTACCCTTTGGCTGAGAGCAGCCCTGGGCTCCCCTGCAGCCAGGCGTTATTTACAAGGCTGTTCACGAGGGGAGAGCCTTCGCTACCCCTATCCTTGGGAGGAGTCCCCCTTGCCCGCCCCCCGGGGCTGGCCCTCTGCCTGGGGTACCCGAGATTTTGATCTTCTTCACGGTCTTGTTGGTGTTGTTGGTGACATGGACATTGACGCTGATGGGTTCTCCGTGGTAATAGATCTGGGAGGCGTAAGAAGGGAGACGGGTTGGATGGGAGGACACCAAAGCTCTGGGGGGGTGGGGCGGGGGGAGAAGAGGCCTCACACACATCTCCTGGGGCTCCCCAGACCTTGGCCACTCTGACACTGGCCCCTAGTTCATCAACCACTTCCTACTGATGCTAAGCCACCAGGCATGTTAGACTTCCGTTCCTTTGTGGGACCTTGGAAGACAATTAAGTTGGAAGGTGATATTCCTGGGCTCCAAACCTGACTTAGCACCAGAAATAATAACCACAATCAGAACGAGAGCGGTGGCCTTGGACCGGCTCCATAAGCCTCCGCTTACCCCTCTGGACAATGGGGGAGCTGGACTAGGTGATGGCGCCTGGAATTTTAGACACAGGAGGGTCTAGAAGAAGCAGGAATGAGGTGGGGAAGGGTTGGAAGCCCCGAGGAACCAGCTCTGAATCCTTAGGGAAGGACCTCAATGTGAATCTTGCCCCAGGAACTTGCCTTCAGCTGTTCTCAGACAGGAGGAGGGATGCTCACAGCTCAAGGGTGGATGGGGGTGTGGGGAGATGACCAGGACCCAGGACCCTTTGGGAGGTACCCTGATTCCGGAAGTCAATCACACCCTTCAGGCTCATGCCCTCTCTGCCAGCCCTTAGGTCCCAGGAGGTTTCCCCAAACCCCCAACGGAAATCTCAGGCCCCCTGCACCCTGTGCTCCTGGAGTTAGGGGTAGAAGCTCCTACGGAGGAGTCCTGCGGCCATGGAAGAGCTGGGATCTGAGGCTCCAGCGTGGCCGAGCAGCTCTCTTCCCTCCCCGCCCCCACCCCCAAGTCTGAGCCACCTACCTCCTTATCCAGGGAGGCCTCTAGATGCAGGGGCTTGTCCGACATGAGGAACTGCCTGGTGGTCTCGGCTGTGGGCTGGGGGCCAGGCCTCTCCGGGGCATACTGAACCTTCCTGATAACCAGGCGCACAGAATTCCTAGTGGAGACGGCAGAGCGAACGATGACCAGAGTCCCCTGCCTCCATCCCCTTTCCTTGCAATCCTCACACCGTTCTCCTGCTCAAGAGATGGCCATCGCTCCCCACGGCCTTAGACTCCCGTCCAAACTGCAGAGATTGGCATGGGAGCCTTGTCACCATCTGGCCCTCCTCCATCTGTCCCAGCCACCCCCACCTCCTCACTATCATCCTGGATGCTCTATCTAGTCCTTTCTCTGAAGCTTCACTTGCACCGGGGCCCCACCTATAATACCCTCTTTCCACTGCTTCTGCCCTCATTTTCTTTCTTCTTCAAGGCCCAGCTAAATGCCTCCTCTTCCAGGAAGCCTTCCTGGATCTACCCACTTGGATCTTCTCGTGGTCTGAACTCCCACAACATCGGAGCCGAACCACCCCACGGCAGCACGTCATGTGGGTTTGTGTCTTGGTAACACTTCCTGCATCCCTTATGTCATCTGATAGTGTAAGCTCCTTAAAGACAGAAATGTTTGTCTAAGTCGCTCACTGCTGTATTCTCAGCACCTGCGACAGTGTCTGCCATCTAACAAATTCCTGCTAACTACCTGTTAAATAAAAATATGCCGGGAACATGGACCCTGTGAAGAAATGGGGCCTTGAAGAGGAGGCAGGGTCAGTGAGTCAAGGGGTGCAGGCCAGGGAAGAGGATAAAGACTCAGTGAGGGAGAGGAGGCCCAGAGACACGATGGGGCTCGATGAAGGTGACTGGGGCTCAGCGTGGAACAAGGACAGGGAGGACAGGGGGCTCGGTGAGGCAGTCTCCATGACATGTTAGGTATGCTGGCCTCCCCATTTCTCAGATAAGCCACCTCCATTCCCTGGAGCCAGACAGCCAGCGTTAAAGTCCTCGCTCTCCCCTTGCTAGCTATGACCTTAGTAAACTAACCTCCATGTCTCAGTTCCTCATCTGTAAAACAGTAACAGTAGCAGGACCAGCCTCTTAGGGTAGCTATGAGGCTTAAATTAGTTCGTGCATGCCCATCACTGTGAATACTGTCCGGCACTTGATAAATCTTCCATAAATGATAGCTGCTATATCATTATCAGTAGTAACTCTGGCCACGACTTAAAGTGCCCCATTGATGGTGAGGTGAGGGCGGTGGCTCTCAATGCTGCTCCTCTTTCTTGCTCTGATCAGGCTCCACCCAAAAATCCACAACCCCCCTCCTTTTCTTGGGGGACAGAAAAGCAAGGAAGAAGTTCCCCTTTCTCCCCCCAACACACACACACACACAAGCTGCCCAGGCAGGAGATGCCTGCAATACACCTATAGCCACCAGGTGGCGCACTCAGCCCACTCCCTGAGAGGTTGCAGTGCCGTCAGCCTGCCTCCTGTAGGAAATGTCCCAGGCAGGGTGCGGTGCATCTGAGTCGGGGCTGAGCAAGCTCACCCCGCAAGTCAGGGCTGGCTGTTTGGGGCTGCCAGCCTGGGCTCTCTGTCTGCCCAGGTTGTGCCTCTCCAGGAGAATACGTCCCCTCTCTGAGACATGAGCTGCCCTCCCCTGCCTTTTCCCCTGGGTGCATACACTTTCTCCACTTCCCTCCCTTGCTTAGACGCCTCCATGGACACCCACCACCACCACCACCAGCTGCTGGTGGCCTCCCAGGAGGAGAATTGGGAATGGGGCCTAGGATGGCCTGGGAATAACTAAGCTCACTATTTAAAACAGTCTGGATGTCAGGGGTTTTCCAAAACAAAGTAAAAATAAATAAATAAAATCTGGAGGGGACGAGACTAGAGGGAGGGAGATGGAGGAAGCAGGGACAATGGTGTAAAGAAAAAATGCCGAGGCCTGAGCCAGGGCAATTGAGCCTCCTCCTCCAGGAAGCCCTCCATGACCTGCCGGCCTTCCAGAGTGCCCTTCTCGGAGCTCCCAAAGCTGGAATGTGTGGCCCCTCCCAACACTTCCAGGTATTGTGACTTATCTCTTCTGACTCCCCAGCCGGCCTCCCTCGCTCTGCCAGCAGGCAGCCCACACCCCCGCCGGAAGCTGCGCCCTCCTCACCGCTTGTGGATCTTCTCCTCCAGGTTCTCCGCACAGAAGGCTTTGACTTCATAGTCCACACCACAGGCCTGTGGGGAAGGGGTCACTGACCACAGGGCCTTGGAGCGTGCGGGGTCCCAAGAGCATGGCCAGCCACCCTCTCATTTTACAAAGGAGGATGCTGGGACGAAAGCCCAAGCTCCCACAGCCCCACAGCCCCACAGCCCATTGGTCTGACTCAAGAGCCCTGTGCTCAGCCCCAGGGCTGTGCTGCCTCCTTCTGTGGCTGCCATCTGACCTTCTCACGGAGCTGTTCTCCAGCTCCTCCAATACAGGGCATCCCCAAGCACCCTCACAGGGCTCTGTTCTGCAGACTCCTGCCTCGCCTGGGTGGCCATCCTCACCAGGGCAGCTGCCCAGACATACAACAGGCGCCTCAGCAGCCCGGTGTGGGAGCACCTCCTGGCTGCAGGCCGGGCACTGGGTGCCTTGCTTCCGCGTCTCACTCCACCCTCCCAACCACACGAGGAGGCACATCCTGTTATCTTCCTTTTGCAGATGAGGAAACGGGCTCAGAGATCTGGGGCCTGGGACACTTCTGGTGTCACTTCCCTCTCAGAGAGATGCTCCCTCGGGGGTGGCCCACCTTCCCTGTGTCTTCAGGCCCCGGCTGCAACGTCACCGAGCATGGGAGGTTCGGAGGGATCTGTTAAGAGGACAGACAGAATGAGCCTCCTGTCGCATTCCCCACTTCCCTCCCCAGGTGCCCCACCCCCACCACATGCATCAGACCAGGGGCCCCTACGGACAGGCATGTCTCTTCCATCAGGGGGGGGAGGGGGGGGGGGGGGGGGGGTCTGGGGAGTGGCTCGGAGGTAGGGGTGACGCCCCCGGCAGAGAAGAGACGTGACAGTGCACCGGGTCCCAGCCTACCCTGGGGAACTACTGACGTGGAGCTGCTGCCCCAGCTGCCCCCCGGGCACCGCCCAGAGGGCTCCCTACAGGTGGTGCTTCTGAACGGGCCCCAGGGGCTGGCAGTCCCTGACCTCAAAGGTGAACGGGTAGGCGTGCTCGCCCAGCTTCTTGATGAGGCGCTCCTGCAGCCGGGTCAGCGGCTTCTTGTCCTCGGGGGCCGGCGGGAAGGACTGCACGTTGGCCACAAACAGGTCCTTGCGAAAGGTCAGGCCCAGGACGTCCAGGTCCTCCCGGCCATAGCGGAAGGCGCAGGTCAGGGTCACGTAGACTGTGGGAGCAGGGGGCACTGAGGAGGCGGCCGGGAGGGCAGCCAACAGGCCCCACGGCAGCAGCTGTCGCCCTGAGACCGAGATAACTGAAGGCCACAGGTCTGTCCCCAAGTTCCCGTGGGGAGGGCCGCACTGCCCTGGGGACAGGAGCATTGGGGGCCTGGAAATGGGGCACCTGGAGGAGGTGGGGCCGACGGCTGGATGGGTTCTGTCCTCCAGCCCCACCCGACAACAGCCCAGGGCATGTGATGGGCACAGGTGGGGAGGGCAGAAGAGGGGAAACAAGTGGGGGGTGGTATCCAGAAGGCATGGGGTCTCCCAGCCTAACCTCCGCCTCCTGTCTTCCTGCTCACCTTGGACACCCCTTCACCTCCTTAGCAATCAGCTTGCTCTTCCGTAAAATGACTCTAACTGCTGCCCTGTTTGCAACGCATCCTTTGTGATCCTCGTGGGGTATTGATGTGCAAGTGCTCAGGGCACTGAAGTGGGCATGGGGCAGGGCACCTGCTCTGACGTGTTGGAGCAGTCGAGGGAAGGATGGTGGGGATGTGCGGGGAGAGGCAGTATCATTGGCTGCTGTCCCGCCTGGGAGTCAGGGAGGCCCTGACTGGAGGCTGGGGGCTGGGGGAGAGGAGGCCTCTGGA